AAGCCTCCTACCCCACTCTTTCCTCCCCCAAGCTCCCCTGTCCCTGAACACTTCTCATCCTTGCCAAGAGTTCCATGTAGCTTCTGGTTCTTCTGGAGCCACAATTGTCTGACATGTTGCCAGAAAAGGCAGCTGGGCAGAGGATGGCACAGCTCAGCGCCTGCCTTCAGATTCTCCAGCTGGATGGGGAAGAGTCATGCCAGGCCCTGCACTACCTACTGCCCCGCTGGTTCAGTCATATAGTCCCAGCTGCAGAGGCAGAGGTCCGTGCCTCTCTCCTAAGGGGTCAGAGAGCACAGAATGCTTCCAGACCCTAGTAGTTATGGGGTAGAGGTGGTATAAAAATCTAAGGAGCATATGGATGCTCCAAACCCCAAAAGGTCAGATGTGGCCCTGGCTACTCTATCTTTGACCCTTGACTTGGGGAAGAGGAGGTGGCCAAAGACCACAGGGGCCTAGAAAATAGGCCTCTGCTGGCTTTGCCCAGGGAACCAGGAGCAGAGGATGGAATCTGCCTGCCAGTCATAGCAAACAATCTGCAGGGTCCTGGGGGCTCCCAAGCCCACTCTAATCTGCGAGAGCTCCAGGCGCTAACTTCAAGGTGGCTAAGGTCAACAGACTGCCCCAAGGGCTGGAGGGCACAGATGGGACAGGGGGAAGTGCATGGCATCATCAGAATGCTGAGATACAAGAGGTGAAAAAGAGAACAGCAGCCAGAGCAGGCAGGGAAGGAGAAGAGCCACTCCGAAGCTGGGCTTGTCCAGGTCTGGGGTCTGGCCATGAGGATGTGGGCTGCACGCAGCCTGGAGGCAGCACTTTCTGCCCTCAGCCCTAATGGGAAGCACACCCCTCTCTCATCACAAGCTCACCACCTGGGCAAGGGAGTGCAGCTTCAATTCAATCCAGTCAGTCCAACCCCAAAGAGGCTGCTCTAAGCTTGCTGCATTCCTGGAGTCCAAAAAATGACATATATGGTCAGAGAACCATCAGGGCAGATAAGGAATGCAGACGAGACCCAGGCACGGGTAGGAAGACAGAATTGCCACCGGGGATTCAGACCCTGAACACCTCGGGACTCGGAGGTGGCATGACAACCTCCTGCACATGTCACAGCCAAGGACTCTAGATGGTAAACTGGTTCTGCGTAACTAGCAACAACCATCCTGTTACCAGGGCAACTATACCGACTCAGTGGCAAAAGCTGTTTCAAGCTCCTGAGCCAAAGCTGAGCAGCCAAAAAACAACAACAAAAACCCCCCACCTTTTTCCTCTTCTCCTTTGGTCTTTTTTGCTACCCTTATTCACTACTGCTGCTTAACGCCAAATGTAAGTCCCTTCCCAAGAACACAAATGAAGACTCTCTCCTATTTGGGAATGCATTTCTCCTGCGGAGTGCTGCTGTGCCCCTCACTCGCTGCAGAGGCAGAGGTCCGTGCCCCTCTCCTAAGGGGTCAGAGAGCACAGAATGCTTCCAGACCCTAGTAGTTATGGGGTAGATGTGGCATAAAAATCTAAGGAACATATGGATGCTCCAAACCCCAAAAGGTCAGATGTGGCCCTGGCTACTCTATCTTTGACCCTTGACTTGGGGAAGAGGAGGTGGCCAAAGACCACAGGGGCCTAGAAAATAGGCCTCTGCTGGCTTTGCCCAGGGAACCAGGAGCAGAGGATGGAATCTGCCTGCCAGTCATAGCAAACAATCTGCAGGGTCCTGGGGGCTCCCAAGCCCACTCTAATCTGCGAGAGCTCCAGGCGCTAACTTCAAGGTGGCTAAGGTCAACAGACTGCCCCAAGGGCTGGAGGGCACAGATGGGACAGGGGGAAGTGCATGGCATCATCAGAATGCTGAGATACAAGAGGTGAAAAAGAGAACAGCAGCCAGAGCAGGCAGGGAAGGAGAAGAGCCACTCCGAAGCTGGGCTTGTCCAGGTCTGGGGTCTGGCCATGAGGATGTGGGCTGCACGCAGCCTGGAGGCAGCACTTTCTGCCCTCAGCCCTAATGGGAAGCACACCCCTCTCTCATCACAAGCTCACCACCTGGGCAAGGGAGTGCAGCTTCAATTCAATCCAGTCAGTCCAACCCCAAAGAGGCTGCTCTAAGCTTGCTGCATTCCTGGAGTCCAAAAAATGACATATATGGTCAGAGAACCATCAGGGCAGATAAGGAATGCAGACGAGACCCAGGCACGGGTAGGAAGACAGAATTGCCACCGGGGATTCAGACCCTGAACACCTCGGGACTCGGAGGTGGCATGACAACCTCCTGCACATGTCACAGCCAAGGACTCTAGATGGTAAACTGGTTCTGCGTAACTAGCAACAACCATCCTGTTACCAGGGCAACTATACCGACTCAGTGGCAAAAGCTGTTTCAAGCTCCTGAGCCAAAGCTGAGCAGCCAAAAAACAACAACAAAACCCCCCACCTTTTTCCTCTTCTCCTTTGGTCTTTTTTGCTACCCTTATTCACTACTGCTGCTTAACGCCAAATGTAAGTCCCTTCCCAAGAACACAAATGAAGACTCTCTCCTATTTGGGAATGCATTTCTCCTGCGGAGTGCTGCTGTGCCCCTCACTCTGTGCCCCCCTAGTCCCCTTCAAGCTTCTAAGGCAGGCAAACCTCAGTCTTGAGGATTCCACCGCTGATTCATCTACATACTCCTCCCTACATTCAACCAGGAGGCTGTGAGGGCTCCGCCAAAGGCCCCCTCGCCCCCCAGCTGGATATTAGGGACAGAATGCAGCTCAAAGTAACCCTTCTCCAGACTTGAGCCTTTTCTCCTTCCCTTCTTTCTGGCATTTCCCAGGCACCAAGTGCTCCCTCAGCCCTGCCCACAGTGGGTGCTTGATGCAATGAAAAAGGCAGGGGATGAGGTATTTGGAGAACTGGATTACAGTCCTGCCTAAACCAACGAGTTGCGAAGATGCTGGGCAGTCCTTTTCCTATCTGGTCCTAAATGTCCTCATCTGTAGAAGTGACGGCTCCTTCCACAAATATAATTCTCCAGGGTCCCAAATACTGTGCTGCAGTGAACAGCAGGATTAGAAGGAACAGCTGGTAGCTGAAGTATGTGTGAGGGAGACGGTCATCCTCTACAGTTTGAAAGGAGAACTGGAAGTCCACCTCTTTTCCAGTAACTCCTCTATTTTGTCAGTTCTCCCAGAACTGACCCCTGCTCCCCCATAACCTCCTCTTCCAGAATAACTAATCACAGTTGTTCCCACCTCCCAGCCCCACTGGCCTCTCTCACCACCCTTCAACCCACAGTTGTTGCCCCCTGTGAGCCTGGAAGTTTAGCTCCCACTCAGTGGGAGGGTGAGAAAGCTAGTGAGAGGAAACTCTGACATATAGTGCAAGTAAGTATCCTGGCTGCCTCAGACTCCAGGCATCTACAAGCCCTGCTCCACGCTGCAAAATACTTCTTACTGGGAGGTTGTTTTCCCTTCTCAGTAGGTAAAAATCTCAAGATTCACTTTAGGCAGTTTTTACCTACAGGTTTTAACCTTTGTAAGTCTGGACCGCTCCGAATTACTTACTTATTCATTTAAAATAATTTTTAAATTGATTTCAGAGAAAAAGGGAGAGGGAGAGAGAGATAGAAACATGCATGCTGAGAGAGAATCGTTGGTCACCTGCCTCCTGCACACCCCACACTAGGGATGGAGCCTACAACGCAGGCATGTGCCCTGACCGGGAATGGAACCGTGACCACCTGGTTCATATGAACCTCTGAAATTCTGACAAAATTTGTGGTCTTTTTCCCTAAGACAGATCAGCACTTGCTTGAAATCTTGTATGCAATTTTAAGTAGTTCGCATGCCCTCTAAGACTCTCTGTTTATGAACCCCTGACCTATTCAGAATTACATCTGACACATGTAGCTACTGAATTAATCCACCTCCTAAGTGGAGAAGGGAACCAACATTTGTTGAAGGCTGTATAGCACCAAGAACTGGACACAAATTACCTTTTAACTTTACAACAGCATCTAAGAGGCATGTACGACTGGGCCCATTTTACAGTGTGAGGACAGTGAGCGCCAGGAAACTAAGCAAATTGCCAACGGCCATACAGCAGAGTCAAGATTTTAATCCATGTCTGTCTAAGGTGGTCTCAGTGTGCAGGGCAATCCCTCAATATTTCTCTAAGTGACTGTAATTCATTCATGCGATTCTCAAGATTCAGAGAGGTTCCACAAAAACAAAACAAAACAACAACAAAACACCCACAAAATAAAGCCTCTCCCCTAATCTCCTCCGAACGTAACTGAGGTAACAACTTGAAATCGCATTCTCTGGCGTTGGGATCGTCCTCCTAGGAGCTCCACACGGTGAAAACGCAAATCCTACAACAGCAAGACTTTCAAGTACAATCACGTTTGCACAGAGCGCCATGGTTTACAAAATCCGGATTGGGTGCACTGATTATGAAACAGAGAAGAAAGCGTGGCCTAATAGGTGGGAGGGTGGAACACTTCCCCCAAATTTCTTTCTCTTCGCGTTTCGCCAGATCGGGGCAGCGAGCCTTTTCCTTCCCAGGGGCTTGCTCGAGGGCAGCGATCTGACCGGGACTCTGCACCAGGGAGGGCAGGAGGAAGGCAGCGAAGGAAGCTGAGTCCTCTCTCTGCGGACCCGTGAGTGGGGCAGAATTCCCGCAGCAGGAAGGCCAGGCTCCCAGGTCCCGTTCTACCCCTCCTCCCTTCCTCGGACCCTCCCGGTCGGGACCGCAGCCCTACAGACAGCCAGGCCCGGCCCTTCCCTTCCCCCATCACCACCCCGGGAGACCCCGCGCCCAGCAGCTCACCGCGGTCGCGCTCCGCTCCTTTTGCCACGCCTGTCAAAGCTCGGCAAACATCCGGCTCCGCTGCAAAACGGGAACCGCCTCCTCCCCGTCTCCTCACTGCCCAGCCACTTCCGCCACACCTCCAACCCACTTCCGACCCCTTCCCCGCTCCAAACAAGGCCTTTCCTGGAGCCCACTTCCTGTACGCGCCCGTTTGGGAGTAGGACAGCATAACTGTCCGACTCATCCCTCCCAAAAGGAGGCGGCTGGGACGATTCGTTCCTCTTTCTCTGGGACTCGACCCTCCGGTGGCCCTCTGGAATCCTAACCCCGTACTGTTCCCCGACAGGGTTTTGCTTCACCAGTACCGCCAAACTCCCGGTCCTGTGCACCAATGAAGTCCGACTTTTACGATGCTTCCCCGAGAGTAAATTTGGCAGGCCATGACTGTTTCCGGGAGGACCCGAGAAGGCGATGCTCACTTCCGGCGGAGGGGCTTTCCTGACCGGGGATGGAGGCGGCGGCGGAGCTACTGTTGGAGGGGGAGAGCCTGCAGTTGGGTGAGTGACCTGCGAGGTCGCCGACCCCTGGCCTGGATACACTTGACATTCTCCGGTCTACTCTCCGTCCCCGACCCTTTCTTTCCCTCCCGAGCCCGGGAGCCTCCTCTGGTGCCCTCAGTCTCTGGGGGTTTCTTCAGAGCCCTCGAGCCCCCTCAAATCTCTCAGGGGCTTCCTGGGAGCCCTGATGGACCCCTCAGGCTTTCGCCCCCCACGCCTAACTCACGGCCTCTTGGTTCACTCCCTCATGGCCTTCCTATCTCCTTGCAGACCCCGAGCCGCGCCCGGACCCGGGCTCAGGATGGAGCCCTTCTGCAGAAGGCCGTGCTCAGGGCCTCAAAGACCGTCCGGCCTGGCCGACCCGAGCCGTCCACGCTTTAAAGACCCTCCCCCAGGGTTTAGCCCTTGGCCCCTCACTCGTGGAGAAACAGCGCTTGGGGGTCTGGTGTGTCGGGAAGCCTCTGCAGCCAGGACTGCTCTGGGGGCCGCTGGGAGAGGAGGCTGCCTCGGAGCAGAAGGACGAGGGAGTGCAACCACTGCAGGAGCAGGTGTGCAGGGATAGGGTGTCTCATCTTTGTCATTGGAAATTTGGAAGCGGTTCAGACAGCTTCTGGACAGCTCTCCGGTTTGTTAGAAGCAGCAGGGCATTTCTGGAGATTAAGAGGTGCTTTTGTCCTTCCCTCCAGAACTGTCTCTTCTCCTCACCTGCAGTAGTTTAGGAATCGAGGTGCAAAAAGATGTTAAAAGCTGGGTTACTATAGCGTCACTGTTGATGAAGTCAAGAGCCAAGGTTTTGGAATTAGAGAGCCAGGGGATCATATCCTAGCCGTAGTATGTAAGCTAGTTAAATGGCATGTTTAATTTAATTTATCTGTAATAATAAAAGGGTAATATGCTAATTAGACCAGACAGCCGAACGGAGGAAGCCAGGGGGGCCGAGGCAGAGGCGGTTAGTGGTGATCAGGCAGGCAGGCAGGCAAGTGGTTAGGAGCCAGCGGTCCTGGATTGCAAGAGGGATCGGACCTAAACTGGCAATCAAACTTCCCCCAAGGGGTCCCGGATTGCTTGCGAGAGGGTGCAGGCTGAGCTGAGGGACTCACACCCACGCACCCCACCCCCACCGTGAACAAATTTTGTGCACCAGGCCTCTAGTGTAAAATAAAGGAATGGCTATTTCCTTACTTTAATCCTTCAGGATTATTTGGAGCAATCAATGAAATGGCACGGGTAAAGGGTTTTATTGCATAAAAAGTACTAAAAAGAGTTGATATTCCTCTTACTACTTTTTCTGTTTGGTACCTACTAGAAGGAGTAATGTGTTCAGTTTAGTAATTCTCCACACCCTGAGAGGGAGGTGTGGGGACAGTCTTTTTGGCTTTTTGCTGAATGAAAAGTCAGACACACAGTCTAGTATAGGCAGAACCAGAAACCATTAACTTTCCAGGGGCTTCATCTGAGATCTTAGGAGAGGTTACGTCTGTTTTGTTTTTGTTGTTTCCTCCACTCCGGCCCCCTCAAACACATGGGAGAAGGACTTTTATTGGTTTATTTCAGGACGTGTCACTAGGCCTATGGGGAGACGTGTGTGCTTGTGAGCAGAGTTCAGGCTGGACCAGGTAAGTTACAGGAGAGTATGTAGTCAAGTTGTTCTTTTGAGGCTTTCTGTTGTGGCATGGGATGGACCCGGAAGCTGACTGTAATTCCCCACACAGTGATCTTTCGCAGTGATCAAAGGCATGGGGTCCTTAGGACTCAGGCTGACCAAGAACTGGGCTTACAGAGAGGGCCACTTGAAGAGGGTCTCTTGAGCTCGCTCTTGCTCTGCTTTGCAGTTTGGTGCAGCGGGGCAGGCTGGAGGGTGAGGGAAACGTGACCCCGGTGTGGATCAGCGAGAGGCTCCACCTGCAGGTGTACCGGGTCGTGCTGCCAGGCTTTGAGCTGCTACTGTGGCCCCGGTCTCCCTCTGAGCGCCTCAGCCCCACCCAGTCCAGGCTAGAGGAAGAGGCAGCCATGGCTGTGGTGACAGAAGTGGAATCTGCTGTACAGCAGGAAGAGGCCTCTCCTGGGAAGGATGCAGGAGAACCTTGTACAGGTATGTGTCAAATACTATAGTAAATGCTGACTTCCCAAATTATCACCAAACAACTATTGATAAGCCAAAGCGGAGCTTATGGCTGAAGAAGGTCAAGTAGCACATTACAGAGCCCTAGTAGCTTTTCTGAAGGGGTAGGGCAAAGCCTGGATATTTATTGAAAATTTGAAGTCTGGTATAAGGTAGATCTTTCAGTGTGGGATAGGAGCAGGGCTTGATTTGGATTGGTTAAGGAGCATGACATAATAGTAGTTTAGGATTCAGGGACACAGGAAGGCTAGAATTTTCAGGCAAGAGGCTCAGAGTCTTGGGGTATAAACTGTCATTTGATGCTTTCTATTGAAGAGTGATGAGTCTTTTCCTTGGAATCAACCATATAAATATTTGCAATTTTAAAAAAAATATATATGTTTTATTGATTTTTTACAGAGAGGAAGGGAGAGAGATAGAGAGTTAGAAACATCGGTCAGCTGCCTCCTGCACACCTCCTACTGGGGATGTGCCCGCAACCAAGGTACATGCCCTTGACTGGAATCGAACCTGGGACCCCTCAGTCTGCAGGCCAATGCTCTATCCACTGAGCCAAACTGGTTACGGCAATATTTGCAATTTTTATCTTCCTGAATAAGTTTCTGGGAATAGTAAGATTATGTTGATGAAGCCGAGGCCGGTTTGGCTCAGTGGATAGAGCGTCAGCCTGCGGACTGAGGGGTCCCGGGTTCGATTCCGGTCAAGGGCATGTACCTGGGTTGCGGGCACATCCCCAGTAGGGTGTGTGCAGGAGGCAGCTGATCAATGTTTCTCTCTCATCGATGTTTCTAACTCTCTATCTCTCTCCCTTCCTCTCTGTAAAAAATCAATAAAATATATATATATAAAAAAAGATTATGTTGATGAAGACAGCAAGTTGTGTATAAGTTTTCAATTCATTATGATTCTTCTATCTGGGTGGAGATTGGTTCCTTTATTTTCAAATGAGCTAAGGTGAGGAGGAAGTGGTCTCAACTTACCGTAAGTTCATGTCTCCAGAGGCAGAACAAGGGGACTCTGAGATGGCCTTACTCTAGGGATTATCCAGATGTCTGGACACTGGTTTCCAGGAGTGCTTCCTCAGTAAGCACCTGCGCCTGGACAGGAAGATAAATGGAGTATGGGGCTCATGCGCCAGGGAAAAGATTAATGTCATTGCTCCCACTGAAGTCTAGGGGCTGAATAGGAAAAGACACATTTCTATAATTTCCTAGTCATACCACTGTCACCATCTGCTACAGTCTCTATTGACCCTATCACTCCACTCTTACTTTGCAGATCTTGGGTACCAATCACCCCCCAGCATCCAGGCAGAGAGTATGGCGAGCTTTGGACTTAAGCCCCAAACCCAGGACCAACTTTCCAAGGAGAGCCTATCACTTGGCCCATTGCCTCAGGATGGGAGCATGGACGAGGAGGACCCACCCCAGACACAGGTGCCAGCTGAACTTCAGAGCAGCTCCACTACCCAGCAAGGCCTAGAGAGCAGTGAGGCCACTTCCTCATCTTCTGCCGGTGGCACCCAGCAGCATGCTCACCTGGTCAAGAAGTTTCATAGCCCCAGTGATCAGTGTCCACCCGGAGCAAAGACCTCAGAGCCCAGGGCCCTGCAGAATGGAGAGCAGCACTCCAGCTTCTCTGCACACTTGGGGAGCCCTCCTGTCCCAACGGGAAGCTCTCTGAAAAGGGGGCGACAGTACCGGTGTGGGGAATGTGGCAAGACGTTCCTGCAACTGTGCCACCTGAAGAAGCATGCATTTATACACACAGGCCACAAGCCCTTCCTTTGTACTGAGTGTGGCAAGAGCTATAGCTCAGAGGAGAGCTTCAAAGCCCACATGCTGGGCCACCGCGGGGTACGGCCCTTTCCCTGCCCACAGTGTGACAAGGCCTATGGCACCCGGCGAGACCTCAAAGAGCACCAGGTGGTACATTCAGGTGCCCGACCCTTTGCTTGTGACCAGTGTGGCAAGGCCTTCGCCCGCCGGCCTTCCCTGAGACTGCATCATAAGACCCACCAGGTGCCACCTGCCTCTGCCTCATGCCCGTGCCCCATATGTGGTCGGCCCCTGGCCAACCAGGGCTCTCTGCGGAACCACATGCGACTCCACACGGGGGAAAAGCCCTTCCTGTGCCCGCATTGTGGCCGGGCGTTCCGCCAGCGGGGCAACCTACGCGGGCACTTGCGTCTGCACACAGGGGAGCGCCCTTATCGCTGCCCACACTGTGCTGATGCTTTCCCCCAGCTTCCTGAACTGAGGCGCCACCTCATCTCCCACACCGGGGAGGCCCACTTGTGCCCCGTGTGTGGGAAGGCCCTCCGAGACCCACACACGCTGCGTGCTCATGAGCGCCTGCACTCGGGAGAGAGGCCCTTCCCGTGCCCCCAGTGTGGCCGGGCGTACACACTGGCTACCAAACTGAGGCGCCACCTCAAATCCCACCTGGCTGACAAGCCCTACCGCTGCCCCACCTGTGGCATGGGCTACACCCTCCCCCAAAGCCTCAAGCGGCACCAGCTCAGTCACCAGCCCGGGGCATCCTCCAGCCCACCCTCTGTGCCTCCGGCTGCTTCTGAGCCCACTGTAGTCTTAGTACAGACTGAGCCAGAAGTACTGGACACATGCAGCGAACAGGATGTCTCCCCAACCCGGCACGTCTTCGAGGTCACCATTTCTGAGAGCCAGGATAAGTGCTTTGTGGTGCCAGAGGAACCGGGCCCCGCCCCCAGCCTGCTGCTCATCCATAAGGACATGGGCTTTAGCCCCTGGGCAGAAGTGGTGGAGGTGGAGACAGGCACCTGACACTCTCGTCTTTCCCTAGCAGAGCTCTACATAAAGACTATGTTTTCTAGGTGCTGGGTGTCTGGATCTTCTTTCTCTTTGGGTTGCCTGATAGAGATTAGAGTCGGCTAGGAGAAGCAGGTCCAGGACTTCCCTTCCTGCTTATGGACCACCACCAACTTGTTTCCCAATACTTTAGGGTAAACCTCCTAAGATCTTTTTTTTTTAATATATTTTATTGATTTTCCACAGAGAGGAAGGGAGAGGGATAGAGAGCTAGAAACATCCATGAGAGAGAAGCATGGATCAGCTGCCTCCTGCACACCCCCCACTGGGGATGTGCCCGCAACCAAGGTACATGCCCTTGGCCGGAATCGAACCTGGGACCCTTCAGTCTGCAGGCCGGCGCTCTATCCAGTGAGCCAAACCAGCTAGGGCCTAAGATCTTTTTATCCACTTCTGGGAGAGCTTGTTCTGAATCTTTCCCTAGGAACTCCATAAGGTGCTTATTGGAGCATCAGAAGTGACCTGCCCAGTGAGGTAGTCAGGTAGCTGGCAGCCTGCTGCCCTGTGGGGTGCTTAGTGCTGGGGTAGCCACTCCCATCGAGCTCCCTGAAGATCAGGCTCTTTTATTGGGAACCAAACTGCGTGACTTTTAAGGGTTAAAAGGCTAGAGACCGAGCTTAGCTTACAGCTCACAAGTCTCTGTAATTCAGCCTAAAGCTCCTTTGGCAGCTTTTCTTACCACCTTAGGGCTGTGAAGTTGGTTTTCTGTGCTGAAGGACGCCAGACTCAATGGAGATGTTTAGGGAGGGCTTGATCTGTACCCTTCTGTGTCCCTGGCCCAAATGCAGCCCTGGTGAGGGCTGCACTGCCTTAGGTACTGGGGATGCAGCTGTGAGCAAGATAGGCAGAGGCAGTGCCGTTTACAGAGCTCATGATCCACAGCGGGCAGAGAGCACTGGATAAGAGTTCAAAGGAGCATCACACGGTGCTGTGGGTCTGTTTCTTGGGATGTTTTTACTTGAGGCATCAGGGAACATGTCCGCAAGGAATAATAATCATAGTAGACCCTCAGCCCTGATTGTGGGCCAGTCCTTCATGTGAGTTTATTTATACACTCCTCTTAGCAACCCTATGAGGTAGCTGGTTATTATTTTACAGATGAAGAAATAGGAACAAAGATTTTTAAGTATCCTACCCAAGGTAACAAGGCTACTAAATGGCAGAGCTGACATTCAGTCCCAAATAGTCTAGCACTGGAGCGAGGCTCTTAACCTCTGCACTGCGCTGTCCCTCATTTCAGCTGCAACTTGGTGGGTAAGTAAGTACAAGTGGTGTGTGGGGAGCTGCATCTGAAAAAGCCCTGATGAGAGCCCTGAGGTGGAGCCAGGTCACATAGGCCTTGCTTCAGGAGTTTGGACCTTATTCTCAGGACATCTAGGAACTCCTTGAAGGGTTTTGAGCAGGGGAATGATATGGTCAGATTTGTGTGTGAAGAGACTATGGGAGAAGATTGGCAGGTGAGGTGCAGTTGTGGGGAAATCAGCTAGGAAGGATGGTCACAGTGGACATGCAGAGAAACGGAGTCATCCATCCAACAAATGTTTCTTGAGCACTTGCTGTAAGTTGTTAGGGATCTAGCGGTAATAAAAATCTGCTCTTATACAGTTTCATGCCAGTGTGCAAAGACAGTAAATAAATGCATGTCAGACTGGTAAATGCAGTGAAGACAAGTAATGCAGGGGAGAGTCTCACATGGGGAGCGTGGTTTCACAGAGGGTGGTCAGGAAAGGCCTCGTGGCACAAGCAGAGACCTTGTACTGTGTAGGGAGTGGGCCAGGCTGTGTCTGCGGGAGGCCCAGCAGAGGGAGTAGTACCAGCAAAGCCCAGTGAGTTCATGGAAGAACAAGGAGCAGAGTGGCCAAGGTGGACCTTGGAAGAGGGTGGGGTCAGGATGAGTGCTGTGGGCCATGGTAAGGATTGATTGGAAATGTTCTGTGGGAGGTAGAAGTGACAGATTCAAAGACTGAGAGAGATCTAACTACTGCTTTCTGGCTTAGCAAGTTAGGTAGCGCCAGGGTGAGAGCAGGACAATTCTGATTGTGGTTTGGGTTGGGTTGATGTGCCTGTCGCGGGAGACACTAGCTGGGAGGTGGTCATTGAAGCTGTGGGAGCAGCGAGAGTGAGCAGAGGGGAGGAGGCTTGCTCTCCAGGTGCGCTGAGAGGAGGAAGGCTCCTCAGGAGAGACAAAATCAGCCTTTGACAGAACAGCCTGCAGACTGTGGCACAGAAGCTGATGGGAGAGCGTCTCCACAGGAAGAAGTGGCAGCAATGTCCTTCGTTATTGAGAGGGTTGGAATTTGTGGAAGTCACGGGTGAGCTGAGTGAGAGCAGTTGGCAGCCAGATTAGATTGCTTTGAGGAGTGGGGAGCAAGAGAGACAGGAAGAACAATTCTCGGATCCTTTTGTAAGTTAAATCAACATGAGAGCTTAGCAAGAGGAAATAACCCAATTTAATTAATTACATGTGTATGTACAGGAGCCCCACATAACAGGAGAGTCAGAGACCATCACATATGTGAGAGATTCAGGGACAGAAAGGAAAAATGAGGTATGTATGGCATCCTGAGCCAAGGAATGAGATAAGATGTCCTGAGGCTTTGGGGGTGGGGGTGGGGGGCAGTGTGTGTGTGAAAGTCATTCACAGGATGATAAGAACAGATGTCCAATAATTAGAAGTTTGCCCTGACCTACAGGTAGGTCATAAAATTATTTCAGGTTAGAACTCTTATGGATAAGGCTCCAAATTTAAATTCTTTAAGGGAGAGGTAAAAGTTTATTTTGAGCTCACAGGGTCTCAAATTACCTTCAGCTCAAAATAATCCACATGCTAAAGGGGTACCTCTTGGGTAGGCCTGTCCTGAGCCCCTTCGTCAGCGAACGACAAAGCCAGAACTGAAATGTCACATGTTCTCCAGCTTCCCAGCACGTGCTCACAATGTCAGAAGCAGCCCCATGTCTCCCACTTTCCCCCGACACTAACCCAGCCGCCCACCCGACCTGAATAAGTTCTTGGCAAAGCGTAACTCTGAAATTTTCCGCGGGGAGGAGGACAGCAGGAAATCGTGATCCGAGGAGAGAAAAAAAGCCACACCATCCAAAGCCTAAGAAACAGTTGCTAATATTTTTAGTTAGCCAGCCCCGTTTCTTGGAGCCTGCACGAGGCTCGATAGATCCTAATCTTTCCCAGTTCTTGCCTCAGGCAGGGTCATATGCCCAGTGTTGCTAGTATCCTGGGGATGTACTCATTGCTTGAGCTTGAGCTGTGCAGTGACGCAGGGATGCTTTGGGATTCTGGGGAAGCCTGTTGACATTCCACAACCATCCTCAGGCCCAAAGCTGGGATGCTCACACCCCTTTGCCACATCCCCCACACAGATGGAGAACTTATCTCTCAGTTAAAGCTGCCCCTGGTGATGCAGAGCAGGTTCAAATCAAAGCCAAGAAATGTGAAGGCACTGGGTCCTGGCCGGGTAGCTCAGTTGGTTAGGGCATCATCCTCATACGCCAACGTTGCAGGTTTGATCCCTGATCAGGGCACATACAAGAATCAACCAATGAATGCATAAGTAAGTGGAGCAACAAATCGATATTTCTCTCCCTCTCTAAAAAAAAAAAAAAAATCAAGTTTGAAGGCACCTGGCTTGGGAGCCTTCGCTCTGCCAGCACTCATGATGAAGCGAGAATGGGCATCAGAGAGCATTGTTCAAGCTCGTACCACAGATGAGAAAATGGAGGCCTAGAGGTCAGTCACTTGCCAAGGCATGAGACCAGGACAGGGCCTCCGTCTTCTGCCGCCTAACTTAGTGCTTTTCTAGCTAAAATAAAATGCAGTGACTGTTCCTGGAAAGACAGGTCACTGGAATATCTGTTTGTTTTTAATCCTCACCCAAGGATTAGAGAGAGTGGAAGAGAGAGGGAAGAGAGAAATATCCATGTGAGAGAAACACATCGATTGGTTGCCTCCTGCACACGCCCTGACCAGGGCCCAGGCAGGGAGGAGCCTACAACCGAGGTACGTGCCCTTGACTGGAATTGAACCTGGGACTCTTCAGTCCACAGGCCGACGCTCTATCCACTGAGCCAAACTGGCTAGGGCTGGAATATTTTTTTAACTGAGAAAACATTTTCCTCCTTTCAAAATATTTTTGTTCGTCACAATGTCAAAAGTTCCTTTTTCCCCACATGCACCAGGTCCCTCCCTGTGATCTTCCCAGACAGTACATGATCGCAGTCCGGACCCTGACCGGCCAGGCCCCAAGGAGGACAAGGCGAGAACCTGTGCTCCCTGTGTTTCTGCTCTTTGTCCTTCTGTCCTAATTAGACCCAGGACTAATATTTACCTTGCATTCTACAAACAGGAAATGGGGGAGGGAGGGGAACAGGGAGGGGAGAGGGGCTGTGTGGAACCAGCAGTTGCTCTCGTCTAGCCCAGGCCCACAGACAGGCACGAGGAGACAGGGGTTTGGGCTGGTCCCTCTTCCCAGCCAGGCAGCAGGTCCTGGGAGATGAGAAGAAATAGAGCAGGGACCCTAGAGGCCCTGGCCCCGGCTCCACGTCCCAGCAACCACTATACACAAACATTCCTCCACAGCTTCCCAGACGGGCAGGAGGGGAATGGGACCCTCCGTCAGTGGCTGCGAGGCCGGGCAAACGTTGGCTGTTCCTGCCCCAGTGTGTCCTGGGCAAGGTGGGCAGGACTCATCCAATCACACCCGTGTCTCTTTTTTCTTATATCTGTGTTTTGTGACCACACAAACCTCCCCATTGGTTTACATCAGTGGTTCTCAACCTTCCTAATGCTGCGACCCTTTAATACAGTTCCTCATGTTGTGGTGACCCCCAACCATAAAATTATTTTCATTGCTACTTCATCACTGTAAATTTGCTACTGTAAACAATATGTAACTATATATGTGTTTTCCTATGGTCTTAGGTGACCCCTGTGAAAGGGTCGTTCGACCCCCAAAGGGGTCGCGACCCACAGGTTGAGAACCGCTGGTTTACATCC